AATTTACCTCAGCCAGGAGGGCCGGGCTATTAATCAAGCCTGTCATTAATTTCACGATAAATATTATACCTGGCATTTCTCTACGGCTTGCGAGTGTTGGCAAATTTATGAGCTTTAGACGACTTGTGTAAGGGGGAGATTCTAATCTGAATCCCAGTTAAAATTACGCAATGCAAAAAGCAAGAATTGTTTTTGAATTGATTCAATCCTTTCTGAATGAACTTGGTAGCGGGGATTCCAAACAATAGATCCGTATTCTAGTATACGTCTAACTAAACTGGTACAAAGAGCTTTTGTAACATAAGGATCTTTGAACTCTTTGGACCATCACCTTACAAATGCTAAAACGCCTTTGGCTTTATTGACTGTGACATTAATATGATGGTTGAAATTGAGTTTGGAATCCATTGTGATACCAAGATCGACAAAATTGGACACCTGCTCCAGATTATAATTTGATATTGAATAAACAGCTGGTTGAACAGCCCTCCGAGAGAAACACATAACTTTACATTTTTGAAGGTTTAGTGGCATATAGTTTGTATTACACCAACTAACCACGTTGTTCAGATCCGCTTGTAACAAAGACCTTTCTTCGATAGAGTACAATGTTTTAAAAAGTTTCACATCATCGGCATACATTAAAATTTTTGAATGTTTTATTATAGAAGAAATATCATTAATGAATATCAGGAACAGAATCGGACCAAGGTGGCTTCCCTGAGGAACCCCTGAAGAAACTTTAATGATGTTGGAAGAACAATTATTAACAATAACTCTTTGTGTTCTATCAGAGAGGTAAGATGAGATCCATTGAAGAAGACTGGGCTGAAAGCCGATTAGGTCGAGTTACGGAGTCAGAAAATACAATGGGGGAAAAATAAAAATCTTTGGTATTAAAGAATGGTTAAACAAACAATTGGGTATTGTTATTGGGACTCTCCTGAAGAGAACCACAATTTTCTGATCGAAAAATATTGATTTTCAAGAATTCCATACCAGTTCTACGAAAAGTTGTTTTTCCCATATAAAATACATAGAAAACTTTGAGCGCTTTGAGCGACCTCTAAATATTTTTTGATTTGAAAGTAAAAAAAAAATAGGGGCATATGTTTTTTCGATATAGAATAATCCTAGGCGGTGAGAGCATTAAAATTCCGAAAAATATCAAATTAAAATTAAATTAAATAAATATCCCATACCGGGTGCAAGTATCATTTTGTAGCGGGGTATATAATTTTCATTTGGTTAAATAAGATAAAATTAAGTTACTGGAAAAACTTAAAACTAGCAATTATTATAATAAAAAACAGTTCACTTTTAATAAAAAAACACAAAGCACATATTCATATGTACACAGGTACAATTATATCACTTTCATTTGTTGATATACATGCAAATGTTCTAGTGCACTCGGTGTGCTTGCTATGATTTGCCGCTATTTTACTTCAACTTTTTATTTGGTTTTATATTTTGCTTCACAATAGAACTCAAGCGCTGCCGCCGCTGTAACAAACTCTACTTCGAATGCTGAAGTGTGTTTGTTTTGTTGCGCAGCTTCCCTGCAGCAAAATGTAGAGACAGTCTGGCAAAGCGCTAGTTCCGCCCTACAAAGTTCAGAACTGTCCCTGAACTACTGCAAAAGG